GTGTGTGTGTGTGTGTGTGTGTGTGTGTGTGTGTGTGCATGTGTTTGTATGTGGGTGCATGCAGTTAAAGACCAGAAGTTGATGTCAACTGTCTTCCTCGATTTCTACCTTGTTTTGGGGGATGGCGTCTCTCACTCAGCCTGGAGTCTCTCACTCAGCCTGGAGTCCACCCCCTGGTTAGACTGGCTCCCAGCAAATCCCAGGGATCTTTCTGCCTCCAAGACTTGCCCATTCCCAGGATCACAGGGGTGGAACACCATGTGCAGTTTATATATTGCTGGGGATTTAACTCAGGCCTCCTTGTGTGTGCTAGGGACATTCTGCCATTGGAGCCACATGTGCAGGCTACGTGAATTGGTTTCTAAAATTTTTATTGTATCCGAACTAGTGTTTTGCCTGCATGTATGTCTGCATACCATGTGCATGCTACATGCCTGCAGAGGCGGCTGGAGCTCTGTGAGATTGTGAGGCTCCATGTGGGTGCTGGGAACCAAATGTGGGTCCTTTGGAAGAGCAGTCAGGGCTCTTGTCTGTGGACCAGCTCTCTGAGAGCCTTGTGAATCATTTTTCAAAAAGTCAATCATTTTGCTGCGTGTTAGTGGCGCACGCCTTTAATCCCAGCTCTCAGGAGCCAGAAGCAGGCAGATCTCTGTGAGTTCAAGGGCAGCCTGGTCTACAAAGTGAGTTCTAGGACAGCCAAGGCTACAAAGAGAAACACTGTCTCAAAAAAAAAAGCCCATCATTTTTTTCCTCCTCCCTACTTTTCCCTTCCTTTTCTCCCCTTTTTCTGCATTTTTGAGGCAGGATTGTGATAAATTGCTCAGACTGGCTTCGGACTTTCCATCCTCCTGCCTCAGTCCTGAGGCTGGCTCAACCCAGGGGTGGCTTAAGGCCTGATGTTTGAGGTGTTCCAAATCCCTAGCTCTTCCTGTTGGTCAAACAGGAGCAGTGGCCTCCGGTTGAACTGTTACCCTCTGGTAACAAGTTACTTCTCTTGACCATAGTGAGTTTATCAAACCAGACAGTGAAACATCTTAGTTTCCAAAGCCCATATGGAAACATTGTCTCCCATTTCCCGCTTTTCTGAGCTATGACAGACTAGCTATTCTGAGAAGCTGGAGGATCCAAGTTCTGTTTGTTTCTTTGTTTCTGAGACAGTTTCTGGATTGTCCAGGAGCTGGCTTTATAGACCAGGCTGGCCTTGAACTCACAGAGATCTCCCTGCCTCTGCCTCCCAATGCGGGATTAAAGATGTGAGCCACCACTGGCCCGTTTATTGCTCTTCTTTGAATGTGGAACGCTGACTGGCTTGTAATCAAAAGGATGCCACATCAGTGACAACTGCATATACACAAGGATAGAATTAGCAGTATCTGGGGGGCTGGGGGTGTGGCTCAGTGGTAGAGCCCCTGCCTAGAATCTCCCAGTGAGGGGCTGGGGGTGTGGCTCAGTGGTAGAGCCCCTGCCTAGAATCCCCCAGTGAGGGGCTGGAGGTGTGGCTCAGTGGTAGAGCGCCAAGATCACATGGTCCTTCTGTGAACCCTCAGACTGAATCACGCTGATCTTTCTATTTTTTGCATTAGTTTATTTATTTATTCATATGTCTGATTGCACTTGCAAGTAGAGCTCAAAGGAGAACTTTTGGGGGGGTGGCTCTCTCCTTTTACCATGGGGGTCTCGGGGAACAAAATCAGTTTATCAGGCTCGGCAGCAAGTGCTTTTACCCCTGGAGCCATCTTACTGACCCCCTTATTGACATTTTTGAGACAAGATCCTGCTAGGTTGCCCAGTCCCAGTGGAGCTCATTTTGTTGTCCCCAGGCTGGCTCAGAATTCTCCACCCCCCTGCCTCAGCTTCCCCGGTGCTGGGTGACACCTAAGTGTCATCTTCTTCAGTGAGACCTCTCTAATGACCTCCCTTCCTGTGTCCTGTTAGTCTATTTGATTTTCTGAGCCAGGCAAATCATAACCCCATTGTGCCTCAGTTGCCCTATCTAAAATGGAGATAACAAGGGTGACCACACCAGGAGACTTCTTTAAGTAGTTAGTGTATTGTAATGGTCCTCACGCAGGTGTGGCTCTGGGGGTTCTGGGGGCATTTGGCAAAATCTGGCACCATCTGTGGTCCTTTAGAGTAGCAAGCACTAGTAATGTCTAGTGAGACCAGAGAGGCTGTATCACTTCTCTGAGACACACAGCCTTCTACCCCAAGCTATCAGCCAGTCTTGATGGTCAGCCTGATTTACAGAAAATATTTAGTATCATGCTTGGCCAGCAAGGTTCCCAAGGGGTGTTAGATGTCACTATTGTCCCCCACCCTGTCACCTAGCCCTTCACTTGGAACAGCAACACCAATAAGCATTTGTCTTGTTTTGGAAATTGAGCAATTCATCAGGGTCAGGTTTTTTTTTTTTTTTTTAAAAAAAAAGGTGCCCAGTAAAGGCGGGAAAAATTAATATATGGAGAGAATTAATGAAACGGGGTCCAGGAGATCTATGGTCTGGTATACAGTAGGTGCTCAATCAATACACATTGTACATATGAATAAGGGGGGGGCAATGAAAATGGTGTTTGAACATGGCCTGCCTCCCATCACAGCGCTCTCACTCACCAGCCACCTGGACCTCAGTCTTGGCCTTCATTGTCCAGGAAGGGTTGATGGTGATGGCCACTTGGTAGGTGCCGCTGTCTGAAGCTTGGGCACCTCGGAGCAGCATGGAACCATTGGGGAAGCCAACGATGTCTCGCTGTCCCATGGCGCTGCCATCCCTCTGGGGCCGCGGTAGCCCAGGGATGTAAGAGAATAGCCTCGTGCCCCCGTTAGCCTCTTCTCCCAGGTACCAGATAAAGTCCTGGATGGTGCTGGGGACACCATGAAGGGACAGAAGAAGGTCCTGGCTCTTTTGAGGCTGCTCTGGGATCTTCTGGATGTGGAGGGCTGCCTGGGAGCCTTGGGGAAGCCAGAGAATCAGCATCAAGGCTGCGGGAAGGTATGGAGGAGGCCTGAGTTCAGGTGGAGAAAACAAAACTGTCCTCTCTCCAGACTCTCAACTGGAAGCAAGGACTCTGAGGGCTGCCCATTGGAATCAAGGATAAGATTGATTAGTGATGTCTGCCCTGGGTGCGGTAATGGGAATACAGGTCCAGATGCCACAGATCTGCCACCCCACTGGCAGAAGGTTTTTTTTTTGTTTTGTTTTGTTTTGCTTTGTTGCCCTGAGATGCTATGTGGTCTGTTCCTAAACACATGGCCCTCTGCATTCACTCATTCAACTAATATCTAAAGGCATATCTATTATATTAGCTACCATGCCAATTACATCCTAGGCCTAAAATTCCCTAGGTTTTGTTGTTCTTTTTTTCATTTTTTCTTTCTTTCTTTCTTTCTTTTTTTTTTTTGAGTCAAGGTTGCACTATATAGCCCAGGTTAGTCCAGAACTCACTATGTATTCCAGCTCCAACCTATGACCCTCCTGTCTCAGCCTCCAAAGTTCTGCCATTACAGATATGAACCATATCTGGCTCTTCCCTAGACTTTCATTTGAGACAAGGTCTCAAGTAGGCCAGGCTAGCCTTGAACTGGCTATGTAGTTCAGGATGTCTTTCTAGCTAACAAACGCTGGGATTCTAGGTGTGACTGACTCAACCCCAGTCTGGGCTCTGGGCTCTAGTTCCCACCTCCCTCCCCAGAGCACAGCAGGGAAGCAAATTCCCGCCTCCATAGTTCTGACATTCTAGAAAATTCCATAGATGATGTGCAGATGGAGATGTTATCCTGTCCCTCCTTGCCCTTCAGCCCTCAGAGGTTTTTTCCTCCTTACCTGAGAACAGGAGGCCCTTTGGGAAGCAGCCTGGGGTCCGGGACCGGATCTCCATCTTGCTTCCTGTGCAGACGTCAAAGTCACTGAGAGCCACAGAGTGGGGTCTGGCTCTCTGGAGAGTGCAGTTCAGTGGGACACAGGACACAGCCAGGCTGTGAAGCCACCGGGCCCCAGCATTTCCTTCCAGTCTCCCAGCCTCGAGTCTCCACCCATTCCTGAGATGAAGCGCTCACACTGGTTGGACCAGTCTTCCAGGGTGACAGACGACTTCCCAGGCATCCTCCCTAGTCCCTTCAGCCTCTTCCCACTCAGCCTGGCAGGCTACCGGAAACAGCAAGGCGGCCTCTGGTTGAGCAATCCCTCCAGCGACTATCTTCCCCCAGAAACTAGGATGGGGGAAACTGAAGTTTGGGGAACCTGGGGAGTCAGTGAGTAGCAGAGATATTTTATCTGTGGTTACTTAGGATACATATTGTAAACTTGGAAGTGTTGTGGAGCCTGTTAACCAGGTGACATTAAAAAATACGCAAATCGAGATAAATGGAACTCACAGAAGCACAAGGCTGGCTTTGGTCTTTGGACCCTGTACCAAAAATTGGAGATGAATATTCAAATCAAATTGCCCTTTGTGCTTGATATAGCAAGGAGTAAAGGGGTAGGAGCTACCCAGAGCTAGAAGGGGATAGGAGACAGACTGGTCTGACAGTTACTCTTTCACAAGAGACAGTCTTCTTAGTGGTGTGTGTGTGTGGAGGGGGTGGGTTCCTCTCTCCACCATGTGGGTCTTGGGGATCAAACTCCGATCATCACGCAGGCAGCTCACCCTCTGAGCCATCTTGCCAGCCCATGCTTAGTTTTTGTTTGTTCGTTTGTTTGGTTTTTCTCAAAAGAATTCATCCACTCAATCCGGCGTCCCATTTCTGTGCTCAGCCTGTGACTTGATGTACTATTAGATGGGTCCTCCCTGTCCTCAGCCCTCCTGCCTCCGCCCCCACAGATCCATCCCCAGATAAGGCTGTAATCAGAGGAGGGATGGAAACCGAGTGGGGAGAGGCTAGCAGAGCCCCTGGGAGGTGATGGAGGTGACTGAGAATGA